ATGTGGGACAGCAAACTGGTAGAATGTGGGAATCACTATCTAAGAGGATGGGGCCCAGATAGAACAAAAGCAGAAAAAACACCTGCTAGCACATGCCTCCACCCCCACACACTGCTTTCTGGCTGCCACGAAGTGAGCAGCTCTCCCTCAGCACACCTATCCACCACGATGCTTCTGTTCACCACAGGCCTAAAAGCAACAAGGCCAAGTAATCACAGACTGAAATACCAAATTGTGAGCCAAAATGAACCTCTCTCTAGGTTTTCTGTCATAGCATCAAAACGATAACTAACACACTAAGCGATGGTCAGATGGTATTTGTTTGAAACAGCACAGCAATATATATAAAAGACATTTGGTTTTTTAAATAGTGAGTACTATATGTCAGAGGATAAAGAAGAGGCTCTTCAGTATTTTTAATCCTGAGGTATTTGAGATTCTACTGTAAAGTTCAAAAGGAAATGAGCGGTGGGGGGGTGTCCTGGGGTTGAACCCAGGGCTTTTACACTGAGCTATATCACTAGCTCTTTTTTTTACAACTTATTAGTATCAGAGAAATGAAAATTAAAACCACAACCAAATAGCACTACCTTCACGATGAAAATTAAGAAGCTGGATAATATGACATTTGTACATAGGTATGGAACAACTATTCGAAATAAAAAACATGAATAACTCTGAAGGTTTGGTATTTATAGAATGTTTCCATGCCTTGTAAGAAACTGCAATCCTAATTAGATACCCAAAGGAACTTTCATATATGTGTGCCAGGGAAATGTTCACAGAAACAATATTTGTCAGAGGGGGAAAAACAGAAAAGCTGGGAAAAAAACCAAAAGCAAAATAAACATCAAGAGTAAAATGAACAAAGATAGTATGATTTGTTCACAGATCAGAACAAGGAGAATGAAAAGGTATGAAATAGAGCAAATATAAACACATCCAAACCTTAAAGAAAATGTTAAAAGAAGTAACAAAGATCTTACAGTATAACTTTATGTATATAAAGTTCAAAAAGAGGCAAAACTCATATTTGTATACATAAAAAGTTCAGAGAAAAAACTCTAGCTTCTAAAAAGGTAAGGAACACAATTAGGAATGCATGCATGGGGACCTTATTAATCATTTCTTCTCTAGGGTGGTGAGTACAAAGCTATTTCACATTAGTTACCATACTGGACCCTTATATTGCATATACTGTACACCCTTTTTATGTGTATTTCACATATTTCTTCCTGGAACAATGGGAAGAATGTAAGCACACAGAAATATGCGTACCCTGCCTTTTCAGTGGTCCTCGGCCACTGGATGGCAATCATTCAGCGTCGCCCCTCTCAGTGCACCCCGCCAGGATGCTGCTGCTTTCAACACCCTGTTCATGGCCACCACAATGAACCTGGGCATCCAGGTGTGCACACAGTACACCCACACATGCACAGTGAGGAGACTCACACGAGAGCAAAAGTTATGGGTTTCATTCTCAACACCGGAAAGGGAAAAATAAAAGAAAAAGTTATGTATCCCACTTGACAATGCATAAACATTATTATAAATTCCTTTATTTTTAGCCCCAAAACAAGCATCCTGAAGAAGACAGGGCATGAATCACAAGGATTAAATATTTTATTATCCAAATAAAGTGTCAGAAAGAAGTTAATGTTTTTTCCATTACTACATCTTGGATTCTTCACTTGCTACCTCAAGGCCAAAACAGGTGCTTAATATGATAATATGATAAAAGCCAACATGGAAGATAATACGAAGAAATGAGAGGGGAAGAGTGGATGGGAAAGCTCTTTTGTATTATCTACAGATGCTGAATGTCAACAGATCTTATAGCTGACTCAGTACTTCCAAGCATAGATGCATATCCAACAAATATGCATAAATATACGGACAAAAGACATGTACAATGTTGTAGCAGCACTATTCATAACAACCAAAGAATAGAGACCTCTCCAAATGTCTGTCAATGGTAGAAGAAATTAAATATGGAATATTTAAATAATGGAACACTCTACAGCAACGAGCATGAATCCAAAACAGGATAATAAATATAATGTTGAGTAAAAATCTGATATAAAATAATATAGTTATTTGATTTAATTTCATTTCAAAGTTCAAATATAGGCAAATTTATCTGTTTTCAGAAACCAAGTGGTCAACACTAGAAAAATAAGGAATAATCAGGATGAACTTCTGTTCTTTTCATGTTCTGCTTCTGGCTGACCGCACAGATATGTGTTTTTAGTCTATGAAAACTCACTAAAACAAACACTCTTCCATGTACATTAGGCTGAAGTTTTTCAAACAGGAGATAGGGAATTAGAATAATGAACTAACACACCATTAAAAATTATTTTTTTCATTGTACCTCTATGTTCTTTAGAGTTCAGCATTAAAAATCCTATTAAAATGCCATAAATTAGGTAATATAATCAAAGGTCAGATATACTGTTTATAATTTTTAAAATTTTGTATGTAGGGAGAACTTTGTTCAAGTGAACTCACATAAAGAACTCGTTCATAAAACAAAGCTTCCAAGACAAGGGTTTGGCCGAGGAGACATGTAGTGATGGTAAGGAGCATGCTGGGGGTAACCTCCAGTACCCTTCTCTCTGTTTCCTTCCAGGTTTCACCTAAAGCACCACTGTGTACTGTAAAACTTAGAATCGATGAGATTGGGGTAACAGAATCCTAGCTGTTATCACTAACTAGCGTGTTGAGCTTTATCTTAATTATGGGAATTAAATGGAAATCTGCACAAGGAATAAAGATATTCCCAGACTTCTGCCTGTATTTTATGCAAATAATTAGAGGTTTCTTCTGTGAAGAAAACACAGCCACCGCAGAGAAAAATCCTTCACTTAGTAGGTGCTGTGAGCCCACTGACATTTATCCATCACCATAAATTGAAGCCAGCCAGTTGATTACCTGTGTACAGAGTCCTGTTCAACTTTTACTTCCTCACTCTTAAGTATTAAAAAACAAGAAAATATGTATTTAAAAGAAGGTTCCAAAAAAAGAGACAAAAATGATTTTAAAAGCTCCTCTAGAAAAAGATGTCGAAATCTGATTTATTAATAAAACACAATAGAAAAACGAACTGTCTACTTAATAGAATTTCTGTAGAAAACAATAATTGGATGATACAAACAGTAGAATAGTTACTGGAAAGTGAATTTATGATTGCCAAGATAAATATTTAAATAAAAATAAAGAGCTGGAATATACAGTTCAGGAAAGATATCAGAAAACATAAACCCAAACAAAAGGAAACTCAGAAAGAGAAAACAAACTGAGATTCAATCAGAAGTTCTAGTTTCTTATTACTCGAAATTCCAAAAAGATATTACCGAAAATGGGGGAAAGAAAAGTACCACAGAAGTAATAAAGTTCCACATGACATTTATCTTCAAATAGCTCACCAAATTTTGAACAGGAAATAGAAAACAAACAATCCCAACATTCAAGCAGGAAGACATCACTCAAAAACTGAAGAATACCAGAATAAAAAAAATTTAAAACCTCCAGACAGATTAAGAACAGGCAGAATACAGATCCAGATCTCCAGACAGATTAAGAACAGGCAGAATAAAACCTCCAGACAGATTAAGAACAGGCAGAATACAGATCTCAGATCCAGAATACAACGTACAATAGGGTCAAAATGGAGTAGACTTCTCAACAGCTAAGCAGGATCCTAGAAAAGCAATGCTTTCAAATTTGTAAAGGAAAATTCACTTCACTCCCAGCCAAACTACCCCATACAAGTCAAACCACTAGTATCTGTCACACTCAAGAGGAAAACAAAGAGACTTTTGGAACTTCAAATACGAGTGGTGTATTCCATTTTCTCCAGTCCTTGTAGTCTCTAATATTTTTAAAATATGTCAGTAGCTGTGTTGCTTGCAGATCCATAAGCACATGAAATCTATTATACACAGCTATTAAAAACTGTATAAATTAGTAGCACTTTTGCCTAGGAAAAAAATAGTGTTTCAAATATATCATGTGTAGGCCTTTACAGTTCTATCTGAGATATTATCCGGCATCTGTAGAGTACTCTACTAGGATCTGTGGAAAGGGAAAAAACACATGTATTCCTGTGATTACTGTGCAGATAGGTTGTATGGCATAGCAGGAGTACTTCCCCACAGTGTAAACGACCAAAAGGCAGATGGTGAATCTCTGCCTAAGGCTACAGTTCTACAAGAAGGAGCCCATAAGCACTGACATAACCAGGTTATTAGACATTTTGAATGTTGGAGAACTTGGGTTTTTTTTTGTTTGTTTGTTTTTGCTGTTGTTGTTTTTTCCAGTACCAGGAATCGAACTTAAGACCTTGCTCTTGCCAGGCAGGCGCTGTGCTGCTAAGCTAAATCCCCAGCCCCGAATGTTGGAGAACTTGGCAGTTAGATGACCGCTGCTATCTTATATAAGTAACAACATCCTGATAAACATTATTTATTACTTTAAAATGACTGTTTATTGCTTTTATACACATTAAAAATATTTAAGGACTTTAAAAAAGAGACTTTTTGATAACGCAGTAAAGAAAATTTGTCAGTCACTTATCCTCTCTCAAGAAGTAAGTTAAGGCTATACACAAGAAAAATGAGAGATTAAACTAGAAAAAAAAGGGGATGAGCTATTTAGGAAATAGACAGTGGATCCAATCCCAGATTACAGAAAAAGGGACCCCTCATGACAGCTCTACAGAAGCTTTATATAGTAACCTGTTCAAATTATAACAGACTGCCTGAGGTAGGAGGATGATTGAAATACTGTTTTTCATTAAACCTTTGGGTAGTACAAGAACTTTTTAAAAACCAAGTGTATGTCTTACCTTGAATTTTCTTAATTTAATAAAACTGAAAAGGAAAGAGTCTAAAAGAGGCAGTTCTATGAAATCTTGAACTCAATTTTTAACTTCTACTGGCACTTAGAAAAATTTAAAGACACCCTACAAACATTTTGTCATTTTCTTCCTTTTACAGATGTACTACATACAATGCCAGAGGTCACAATGACGGGAAAGAACAGTCAAGAAATTTATGCCTTATCTAAGGTACCTCAAAAATGACTTTTTAATTTCTGTGGTACTATACTAGTCACTGCATATCAATTTACCTATTCTCTTTTCCATTATGTGCCTCTTGTCATTGTTATACGTGCCCTGGTCTTATCAGCTGAAATTTACAGTTGTATTTTTGTTTTGTTTTGTTGTGAGACAGAGTTTTAATATGTAATGCAGGCTGGCCTTGAACTTGCTTATGTAGCCCAGCAAGCCTCAAACTTGATCCTCCTGCCTCAGCCTTCTAAGTGCTGGGATTGTAAGTGTACGCACCACGCCAGGCTATCAGCTGAAATTTTCAGCAAGCTTCATGACTCAGGGCAATATACTGGGAGAGTAAGTGGCATAGCTGGCACACTCCCTGGCTCACGGTAGTTAACACATTTTAACTATTTCCCACCCTCTCCTGCCTCCTCTTTCCTTTGAGGCTGAAGGTCCTATTCAAAAAATTTTCTTCCCGGAGCAGCCAGCAGAGCTGCCCTAAAAAACAAAGCCTATACCCTAGATATACTTAAATTGTAAGTTCTATGTTTGGATGATTCAACCATGGAAGAAACCCTTTCTACCTTGGAAGGAGTCCACGCATCTCAAATCCAAAAATAATCTTCCACTCTCTTGCTCCCAGCTTTAGCACAGAAAAGCTTTTTTTTTTACCCCCAAAGGGTGTCAAATATCCACAAAAATGGATATTTGAGTAATAATTAAACAATTTACACTACAAAGAATAGGTACGCTCACCATAATTACTAACACAGGAGCCACATCTCACTTCAACGGCCCTTACTGGGCAGATGCCCTAAGTGTGGTTTTGCTGACCACCAGCAAGTCTAAGACTTGGTCTAGGCTCATATGAAGCTAAAACAGAACCATGAGGAAAGTGACCGAGAAAGCAAATTATACAGCAGGGACAAGTCAGGCCTTTCTTTTAAGTTAGATTTGGCCAGTATATAAAGCACAAGTATAGTGGACCCTCAAGTTACAATTGGTCTCACATACAAACAACTTGGGTTACGACTGGAACTTTAGTTTTGGGGTTTTATTTGTGTGTGTGGCAAAAATCGAACTCAGGGCCTTGTGCTTTGCCAGGTAGGCACTGTACGGCTGAGCTACATTCCTGGCTCCTAGGAATTTTAGTTTTAACTTATGGCCAAAGTCTTGAGTTACGACCCAAATGCTGGCCACTTGTGCAGTTGTAAATAAAAGACACACAATGCTAGAAAAGCACTTTAAGTATACGTAAGAATCAGTATGAGGTCACATGTGCGTGTCTGTGGACATGACTTCAGTCAGTGCTTTTGTTATTACAATTACCGCTATCATAACGGCCCCCCAAAAGCTAGAAAAGCAGCTAAGGAAGGAAGGGAAGGCCAAGAAGACAATCACAATCAAAAAGAAGTAAATTATGGAGAAATGAGAGTGGTATTTGGATGATCAATCTCACATGCCAAAATCCACCATCTCAACAATCTTACAGAGCAAAGATTTGTATAAGGATGCTAGTGTTGCTAAAGATGCTACTCAAATTAGTAAGTTACCAATGTCAGTGTTAGATGAGGTAAAAAGGCTACTCCTCGTGTGGATAAATGAAAAGAGATGGCAGGTTATAGCCTGTCTGGGTCTATAATTTGTGACAAAAGCTAGGGCTATAAAGGCAGATCTCATAAAGGATAATTCATCAATGAGTGATAATGTTGAAACATTTCATGCCAGTAAAGGGTGGCATCACAATTTTAAAGTGACAACTTGGGTTCACAGCATAACTAGGCATTACGAAACAGCCAGTGCTAATACAAGGGCTGCTGAAAACTACACATACCAGTTTGAAATGATGACACAGAGAAATGGCTTTTTTGTTTTGGTTTTTGTTTTTGTTTTTTGGTACCAGAAACTGAAATCAGGACCTTGTACTTGCCAGGCAGGCGCTTGTGCTACAGAGTTACATCCCCAGCCCCAAGAAATGGCTTTTGCTCTCAAGTTTATAACTGTAACAAAACTGGCCTTTTCTATAAGGAAATGCCCAAGAGAACACACATTCACCCAGGAAGAGAAGAAATTGCCAGGTCATACACCTATGAAGGATAGGCTAACTTTATTGCTATGTGCCAATGTAAGCGGTGACATCAAGATAAAGCCTCTCAGGCCGGGGATACAGCTCAGCAACACAAGTGCCTGCCTGGCAAGTGTAAGGTCCTGAGTTCAATTCCCAGTACCAAAAAAAAAAAAAACAAAAAGCCTCTCTTGGTTTATCACTGGGAGATCCCTAGAGTTTTCAGAAAACATAAACTCATGAAAAACAGGCTAGAGGTCATGTGGAGATCTAATACAAAAGCCTAGGTAACAAGTATACCTTTTCTTGAGTGGATCAGGGAAGCTTTCTGTCCTACTGTTAAGAAATATCTAGAGGACAAAGGTTTACCACTCAAGGCTCTCCTCATCATCGACAATGCTCTGCTCACCCATGAGAGTTGGAAGAAGAACTGGCTGAATTTCCATGGCTCTCAGTCAAGTTCCTCCAATCCTAATACAACTCCTCTACTGCAGCCTTTGGGCCACCAGGTTATAGCTAACTTTAAGAAGCTGTTCCTGAAGTGTTTCCAGGTGGTTTCAGATACAAATTTAACCCTTAACAGGGTTCTGGAAGAACTTTACAACATTCTTTCCTGTGTGGAGTTAATTGAGAAATCCTAGGCCAATGACTCCTAAGGACGCTGAGATCTGCCTGGAAGAAATGTGTTTTAAAATTATATGGGAGAGAGACTTTGAAGGCTCTGTAGAGAAGCCTGAGCCTTCCACTGACCCTGTGGTTGATGACTATGCAATGATTCCACAGCATCTTGCAGGGAGACAGTGGTGAGGTTGGGGAACTGCTGGAGGAAACTCAGAGGAATTGTGTACAGAGAAACTTCAGCAACTTCTGGCTGAGCAGCAGAAAATGATAGTTGAGGGGCTTTCTGAAGAGGAGGGGAAGTATCAGTAATCAGTGCGGCAAAGTTCTTTTTCTGAAATAAAGGAAACCCTGAAAAAATGGACAGAGCTACAAACATTTGTAAAGAAGACCCACTCAGACAGAGAAAACACCAATCATTGCATTCACTTGCTTAATACAATGTCACGTCACACTACAGGGCAGTGTTAAAGAAAAGACGGAAACAGCCTTGGACCAGTTTTTAGTTCTGAAAAGATTGAGACCTAGTGAGCCAAAAGCAGGTCCTAGTGGGCTACACACTCTCCCAAGGAGAGAAAGGACCCCAAAGAGCCAGAACACTGATGTTCTTATGGAAGTGGACTCTCCTTCCAAACAACCACCACCTCCGTCTCATCCTCCCTTCCTGCAACCCAAAATGTCAACCTGAATGGTGAGTATAGTATGAAATTGTTGTTTGTGATAAACGAGGCACAGTTCATAACTTTTTGGTGACTATATTAGGAAAATTATTAGTGTTTCTGATAAATGACACATATTATACAACCCTTTTTTATTATGAACAGGTTAGTTAAGGGGTGCTTTGGGAGGTTAGGAACACATGATGGGTATTGCCATTATTTCTTATGGGAAACATAGTCTTGACTTACAACCAACTTGAGTTACAACCAGCCCTTGCAAATGAATTGAGTTTGTAAGTCAAGCATCTACTGTACAGATTTAAAACCACACAAAAGGCATACACAATTTTAAATTACTATTTTATTCTTTGACCTAGCCTGTAAATGGTTAAATAAAAAGGTGTTTTTGAATCAGAAGTCGAACTCTACCATTAGCTCATCTCATGACTTTGAACAAGTCACATGTCACTGCTATGATTTTTCAAAAGACATGCACACTGGAGAAGATTAAACTTGTGGGTTGCAAATTACATGATTATCTGCTGTATATAAAAATTGCTGTTTCTTATTCCCCATGTAGCTGAAATTATAGTAGTAGCACCTGGTTACTAAACAACGACTATGTGCTCAGTATTTCACTGCTCAATTTCTAACAACAATTTCTAATTCTCAACAACTTACAAAGCAGTGATATGAAAACGAGGACTCTGAAACATAGCAACTGGCTTATCAAATATCACACAGCTCATAAATGCTGAGACTGGATATTAAGACATCATGCAAAACTTCCATTTTTTTCTCTGACAAGTTTTTATTGTGTACTATTTACAGACAGTGTTTGTACATAAATCTAAACTTTATTTGCCAAATAAGGAAAGTCAATGCATTTTTCAATTCAAAATCTCCGATCTGGAAATGCTTGCTGCGAACTCACCTGGTGCAACAGCCGCTTCAGTTTGAGCAGCTGCGTTTTCACGGCGGTGCAGTCCTGGACCATGTGCCGCAGGGTCATCTCATCCAGCATCACGGTGTTTTCTGGGACATCTACAAACACCTTCTGCGCCTGGAAAAAGGGGGTCCCTCCATAGCTTTCAAAATGACCCAAAGGTGCTTCTCTGTAAGGAGAGCCTCTGAAAGGGCAGGGAAGGTGGAGGAAAAAGAAACACAAGTTTAGAAAGAAACGAAGGTACTGAAATTATTGCTGTAATCTTTACAAGTCAGCCATTATTAGCAGAGAGGCTCTGACTTGCACTCACCTCAGTCACTGAGCGAGATTCCACTGGAGACACAATCAATTCTAGCTGCCATTAAAATAACCATCTTTTGAACTCCCCCACGTGACCCTTTTTTGTGTATTTTACCTACTTGTTAAATAAACCTTTTCCCCTCAAAAACCAGAATAAAATAAGACACTCTGAGAAAAGCCTGAGCTGGAAAAGTGATACCCCTTTCTGCACTGACTGCCTGCTCCTTAGCATTTGACTTTGCCTGGCATCTTAAACTGCACGTCTTTTTATTTTTGTTTTTTTTTGTTTTTTTTTTTTCTAGTACCAGGAATTGAACTCACGACCTTGCGCTTGCACGTCTTTTTAGACTCATAACTATGCAGCCCACATCAATTCTCAGTTTGGACACTCCTGTAGACTGCTATTTCTTCAAAGTCCCAGCAAGCAGTTAAGACTGATGAACTGTTATTTCTTTGTTCTTTTGTTTTTACACTGCTGGTAAATCTTTTCCAATAAAATTAAACAAGGTCCTATAAAAGCCATATATACATCACATATTTCCTAATCTTAAAGTACAGGTTAAAAAAAAAAATCTACTCTGTAAAAGATGCATGCTTCCTTCAGTTTCATACCAGAAAATTTATGCTGAATAAGAGAAGGAAAATTAACAACCTGGGAGGATGAGGTAGGAGAATCACAACTTCAAGGCCAACCCAGACAAATTAGTGAGACCATGTCTTAAAATAAAATTTTAAAAAGTGCTGCAGATGCAGCTCAGTGGGAAAGTGTTTGGTTAAAGAAAAAAAAGTGAGGGCCGGAAATATAGCTCAGTGGCATAAGCGCCTGCCTGGCAAATGCAAGGTCCTGAGTTCGATTTCTGGTACCAAAAAAAAAAAAAAAAGAAAAGTGAAAAGAGAGTGGGGAATAGAGGAGAATGGAGCAGCAGGAGAAAGAGAAAGAAAATACGGGCTGCTGTGTTTCATGGGAGTACAAAACAACGTTGTGAACAGAAAGCAGAGCTACAACAATTTAAAGAATTATTGGATCCATATTACACACAACCCCAGTAAGTTCTTAAACTTTGGAGAACCTATTACACCACACATATAAACAAGAAACCTCAATATTTAAAATAGCACAATGAAAAGTATTCATTCTCTCCAGTGTAATGGCTATTTTGACATACTAGTAATAAAAATTAAATCCATGATTCATTGAATTTAAGTGACAATGTATCAAATTTCAAACAGATTGAAAACGTAGGCACACAGTTTCTAGTAAATTTCTACATTTCAGCAAATATTTCCAAATCTTTAAAGTAAGGAGTTCACACAGCCAAAGGTTTTAAGTCTCAAAGAAAAGAAACATCAGGATACTTCAACTGCATTGAAGACGAAGAATGAGGACAAAGACTATACTTCTGACCAGTACCAAACTAAGGTAACTGGAAAATAAGAATCCTTCATGTAAAAACACTACCAGGGATGTAGGAAAAAGATTTGTTACAGTTAGGAGAACGCAGGCAAAGAGGTCAAGGGAGCGAATTTGTTAGGATGTGACAGAATTAACTGTCACTGGAAGTTGGTGAGATAGGGAGTTCTAGGGAAATAAGAGTGGAAGGTAGGTCAGGTTAAAAGAGCAGTATTATGATGAAAATACAAAAGAAAGATCAGTAGCCCTCAACCACCAATCTTCTCAACACCACTGAGTAATCATAATCCTATAATTAACTATGATAATGACAGGAGTTGGAATCAGGGAGAAAGGGATACCAGGACTCAGAACACATAGAGTGGAAAGATATATAATGTGCAGACCTTTGCACATGTATTATTAAAAAGGCCCTGGGGTTAATACATCCGAATTCTTTAATAGGAAGGTACAGAGAAAAAGTAATAAAGTATGCTAGGGTAAGGCTTGTCATAGAAGAGGTTTCTTTTTGTACTAATCATCCCTATAACTGGCTATGGGATCCAGAATACGCGTACCTGCACCATCACCAGACGGCTTGAGAGGCATCAACAAGCCAGTCAAAGCTGTAATCATTCACAATAAACCAGTGTGCCTCAGTCCACTTATTAGAAAGCTCTGTGTTAAGTTAATTGGATTAGCAACGCCAAGAATTTTATGAATTTCTCTCTCCCCAGAATCACCAGTGTGAATAAGATAATTTAGCACATCATAAACTCCTTAAAAAAAAAAACCTCTGCACAAGGGATTTGTGATCATGCTCCCAGAAACGCTTACAGATTATCTACTACATAACATTTTGCAAAATCAGTGTAATCTATACATTTTCAAAAATAATTAATTTTATTTTGTTTATTTTCATACTCATTTGACCAGAGAACTTCTCTCTTCCGTATCTGTGGATATTTATAAAATACTTAAAAAAAAAAAAAAGTCGCTCAACTTTTCTGACAGATGGCTTAATCTTGGCTTGTTCATTCCCAAGGACAGAGAAGTCTGCTGCCAGCTAATTCATCCCATCTTAGACAGTCTGATTAACAATCTCACTACAGGCTGCAATTTGCCATCCTTTATTTTACACTGTATATATGTTAGTGCTGCAACCTCCAGCCACAGATTACACCTACTCATTCCTCCAAATGACTGAGCAATCCGCCTATTGTAGATTTAACAGTCATTCTCTGCCAGTGCCATACTCTATCATAAAACTTCCCCACATGTGATTTTCCCAGGCAAAATCCCATCCTTCTACAGAAACCACTCCTCTCCAGTCTCTACCATCAGACCCTTAGAATCAGTCTGATAGTAATGCCCTTCATTCTCTGACCTCCTATACAACTAATAGTTGCTGTGCACTCCTGGAGTTCCTTACACATTATCTTACCTGTGCACTGTATCACACTAACTCTGCACTGTAACTGTCTCAGGCCCATCTCTCATGTAGACTCTCAGCATCCAAGCAGCAAGAATATACTACTCATATGCATAGGTGGAACAAGCACATGAATCTTATCTGGACTGATAAATACAGAGATACCTACTGAGCTCCTTCACCGCACAATTATTGTATTGTCTTCAACAAGATGTTCCAAGAAGCTACTGCCAACCCATAGCTCTTCTTACACTATCTTCAAACTCATCCAGTTTGTGAAATTATAACAATGTCCAACAAACAGATTCTCAATGAATATTTTTAAGTAGATGAACACATTTCAAGAATAATCAATGATTTATATTTTAATTAGGCTTCTAAAGTTTTATAAGTTGGCCTCATGTACTTCCTAGCTTACTACAGAAGACTAGGAAAACATAATTTTCATTATTAGCAAGAAAGGTTGTCCTTACATCATGTTCTTGCCTGATAACACCCACTCTCTGAGGCCTATTTCATCCCTACCCTGCTGAGGCTTATTTCTTATCAAAATGCTAAACATAAGAAACAGAACAGCCAAATAATGTCTGAGATGATAATGTAGTCAGTACATTCTTCCAAATCTTTTCAATTACATCCGTTCACTGATCACTAGAAAAATTTGTAGTTAGAAATTACTGTTTCATGACCCATTGAACTGCCTTTTCTCAAACTGACTAGAGTCTGCCATGTGTACAACTAAGAAACAGTTAAGAAAATTACCATTATTTCTGCTCTGACAAGCTGGGACCTGTCCATCATATTTCAAGGTATTTTCTGTCTAAGAATTCATGCAAGAAACCACAAAAGTTTTTGTCTCCAAAAAGCAAATAAATTAGGAAGAAACATATACACATTGTATACCGTGTAATGGATCCAGTTTTCTTCTTTGCTTTTGTCACAAAGAATCTTAAAAATAATTGTTTCCTATTGTAGGGAATATACATGTCCATACATCTTCTTTCCACTACTTCATTATCCTAATTTTAATATTTGTATCATAAATATGCTCCAGAATGACCTCAAATCTCTTGTGCAATGAGATAAGGATAAAAATAATAATAAATGCCATTGATTGCCTACTATAAACCAGATGCTACAGCATTCTTATCCTGCATCCTCAAATACTGAGAGAAAGGTACTATTAAGTATCTTTTATCAATGGTAAACTAAAATGGTGGGGTAAATAAATTAAAATTTGCAAAGCTAATCTGTACCATGCATGGATCCATTACACGTAAGTCCTGATCAAATTAAAGGTTATCCTACAATTCAAAATGGAAAAGACTTCTAGTGCTACATAGTATCTGCTTATGTTTCTAACAGTACTTATGGAATTTTAAGATTCAGACTTATATAGCCAAAGATGAGGAGTTATTTGGCACTAATTTTGCATATTATTTAATAAAATTTTAAACATTAACAAAGTCAACATTTAATCATTTCCAAATGAGAACTTAAAAATCTCATATCAAAACTTTAAAAAATAGTACATAAAAATACAATATTTATATTAATGATAATGCTAATGAAAAAAGTTTTGAGCCAAGAAGAATGAGATATTATTCTAACTAGGGCCACATGGATCTTGAATTTTGGAGGCAGAGGGTGCCTCAAAACCAGGCAAAAGCAGTTTTGAGGGAAGAATTATTACTCAAATTAATCAGAGGACAGAAAACAGCACTCACCTGCTCAAGTCACTTTTCCCGTGGTGATGATAGTGGTCAGCATGGCTGAGGTGGTAATGTTCTTGTCCACTCCACCTCTGGGGTGGCCTTTTCCAAAATCCCTCCTGAGACTGCCGCACATTTCTGTCTGATCGGTCAAAGCGATTCATATTGTCACACTCCACTGGACAGATTCAAAGCAAAAAACTATAAACATGTACACTTGCTATAAAAGTTAACTACCTACAGCACAGTAACTAAGTGCTACTGAAAATATAAAACTAATACTCTAAAAACAAAATCCATTTACACCAGCTAATCACAAAATGAAGATTTCCTGAAGAAAAATACCAGTTCTTTTAGTGAAAATTGAACTTTATATTATTTAAACTGAAGTAAATTATAATACTTTCATATCATAGTCACTTAAGTGAACAGTTAATGGCTGCAGTGTTTTAAAACAAGTAAATCAACCCTGAAATCAACATCATTAATTTAAAATACCCAAGTTGGTTATGATTTCAGAATGAAAACAGGAAAAACTAGATTTTAAGTTTAGTAGAGAATGCATCCCTAAAGTGAACAGCACAATTAATTTTCTCTGATTCCAAGGAACACAAATAACTTTTCACTGCAAACAAATCTGTTTTAAAAAGTAAGACGCTTCAATCTGCCTGCCGCAAGCTGGTTCAAAAAGTCTAAAATGCTACTGGAAACAAAGCCAGTACTTTGCAACAACAAATAGTACACTCCCTGAAATCCAAACGCCACAAAAACACGAGAAGAATCTCCAAAACACCCGCTTCTTCACTTACCCAAACACTTTTTCCTCACATATCTGAGTACTTGCTGAGGGAGTCACTTTGCACAAGGGGGACATTGTGTTACGGCTGTCTACCCAGACAGAGCCGCACACCAGGCACTGCTGAGCAGGCCTTCCTTCCTGCTCAGCTTCAGCCCTCCCTGTGGGAAGCAAGCCCAGTCGGCCCTGTGACTCCATCGTCCTCAGCGCTTACATAGCTACTGAGTTAGGATTGTTTCTAAAAATACTGCTGGATGCTAATCCAAGCCACTGGAAGGAAGGGTTTCTCCAGTCTGAGAACTACTACATGAGAAGGTTCAAGTCTTGCATGCTTAGAATTCTTTGTGATGGAAAGTATTAAAATCAACATACTTCCAAATTATTCTTTGAAAAGGATCACTTAATTAAATGACTGTTTTACTTAAGCAGAAACATGATTTTGAAATGTAGCAGTGTCTTATTACAGTATAATAGATAAAAACAAACTTCCCATTCCAAAAAAGGATCATGCTGGTAAAGTATAGATGTTCAATTCTCATACACACAGAACTCATTTCCTCTAAACATATAACTTTAATAAGCTCCTATAAGGATGGTGAAATTCTGTCTGCATTCATTAGAGGAGTCATGGAGGATATATATTTTATACTTTATTAAATTTTAAAGATGTTTTTTAAAAGCAGTCTTAGATTTGAAATTATTTCTAAAAAGTTTTTGCCCTGTTAGTGGGCTAAGTCAAAAGGCACTTCTAGTAAAGTTCACTTACAGAAAACCTAACAGAGGCCAGGTGTGGTGGTACACACTTGTACTCTCAGCAATCTGGAAGGCTGAGGCAGAATGATCACAATTTGAGCCCAGCCTGACAACTCAGCAACTTAGAGACGTCCTATCTCAAATGTAAAAAAAAATTTTAAAAGGGTGGCAGTGTAACTTAAGTGTGAAGGCCTTGGGTTCAATCTCCAGTAGAAAAAAAAAGAAGAAAGTGGGGGGAGGGAGGGAGAGAGACAGAGAGAGGGAGTGAGGAAGGAAGGAAGGAAGGAAGGAAGGAAGGAAGGAAGGAAGGAAGGAAGGGAGGAAGGAAGGACAGAAAGAAAGAAAGAAAGAAAGAAAGAAAGAAAGAAAGAAAGAAAGAAAGAAAGAAAGAAAGAAAGAAAGAAAGAAAAGAAAGAAAAAGAAAGGCAGGCAGACCTAACAGATAATAAAAGGTATAGTAATTGTTATGTTGAAAAAATTAGAAAAGTACATTGAAAAAGAAAACAATTAAATCTTAAGATTTAAAACTGCTTTTAATTTACTCCTTTTAATAGTATTATTTATAAATTCATATGTGGATGATAACTCACAGGTCAAAGCCACTGTTCCACAGATGATAGTTCTTAGGAAAAGAACTTCATTAAAGTGTAAAATGTGAGTTGGTTCAAAGAAAAATAAACCAGGGTTATACAGATATGACAAAAGTGTGAAAACACTAGGTGAGTGGGTAAAGGAGGAAACTAAGGGCCAGATTTTTTAAAAAAATATATAAAAAAGAATGGGCAGACTCTACAGAAAACAAAATAAAACAAAAACTCACTTGTACTATACTCATGAATTCAGTTAAGTCCCATAAATATTTCTACTTGGCCTTAAGATGGTACCTCAGTTTAAACAACTCTGTATACTTTTAAAAGTTTATCTACTTTTACATGTTTTGAATTTGGTTTTATTTCTTAATTCAGGCAAAGGAAATCCTACTCACTCCCAAAGCAAGAATCATTTCACAATAATCACCTGAAGTGTTCCTGGCATGGTATCAACACAGTGTACACAGAATAACAAGAAGCAAGCAAAGGAGCCAAGGAGGCTGAGAGATGGGCTCAACACTGTGAGCAATTGCAATGCAGAAATTGATGTGCTAACTTTCTGTCTGCCAAAGCTTGCTGGGACCATATACAGAATCCAAATCAGGACTCTATCCTGAAACTTGAACCTAGGCACAAGCAGACTGCACATAAGCTCAAGAAACAAACATCACAGGAAATACAAAAGAGTAATGTTCAAATGAAGACAGTGGTTTAACTCTTAAAAGAAATGACTGTTCTAATACTCTACAAGGAGTGCCCTGTTATATTTCTATCTCAGGGATTGGGCAATCACATATTTATATACTTTAAAACGTGGTTAAGAGGTAATGTGAAATAATACTAGTTGTTGTTCCTAAAAAAAGTGTTAAGGGTTCCCTGACAAAAATGAAAGAATAATGGAAAAAAAAGTAGAAAGCAAACGAAAGTACAAAATCAAAGTAAATTAAAACCACTCTCCAGAGGCTGGTAAATGAAGAACAAGACAATAAAACTAAGAAAGAAAATAAGACTCTCTAAACGTGTAACACTATCTTAGCTAATTTTCCCATTTCTGAGACAAAATACCCAACACACAAAGTTAAGGGGCAAAAAGTTTGTTTTGGCTCACACTAGAGGTTTAGTCTACAGTCCGCTGGCTCTAAGACAGGGTGGCACGACAAAGGGGCATGGTAGAGGAGAAAAAGTTCATGGCAGGCAGCAGGCAGCAAAGCAGTGAAGTAGCAGCAATGGCTCTCTTTCTGTCCCTTATACTCTATCTAAGGTGGGGCACCCTTAATCCCAGCATCACACATTTAATCCCATCATCACACACCCTAGAAACAACTACCTCTGAAAAGCCCCACCTATGACTGTATGAGACTTTGAAGGAATCAAAGTCTAGATAGAAGCCGTAACATTCTGCCCCTAGACCCCTAAAGACTCACGTGCATCCCTTTATGCAAAAGACATTTAGTCCATCTCTAAGAGCTGCCGAAGTCCTACCAGTTTCAGCACTCCTAAAAAGTCCAAGTCCCAAAGTCACCTCTGAGATTTAAGGCAAACTCATAGCTTTAACTCCCTCTACAAATAAAAAGAAAGTTAAAACACTTTCAACATTCAATGCCACAACACAGACACTGCCATTCCAAAAGGTACAAATAGGGAGATACAAAAGAATGGGACCAAACCCAGTCCAAAATCCACCAGGTCAAACATTACATCTTATAGTTCCATGTGTAACATTCAAGGCAACCTGTGGCAAGATGTAAAGTCCAAAGGGCTTGAGTAGCTCCACCTCGAGGGCACTGTATGTGGTTGTAGCTCTCACAGCTTCTCTCTTAGGTCAGTTTTGCTTAGGTCAAGCTTGCAGCTTTCCTTAGACAATCCACTTTCTGAGCTTCTCTAACCTTCTGAAGTTCTCAATGTGTCTTCAGCTTCACACTCACAGCTTCACACACTGTCCTCTCAGGAGGACACTGACTGATCTCCCAGGTCTTCTCCTGAAATCTGGGTGGAAGCTTTCCTGACCCCACAACTCTTGCATTCTGCATGCACCTAAAACCACCACCACATGGATGACACCAGGGTCTGCTGCCAGCTACAGCAGGAGCCAGGCTTCCTTCTCCCCTGGGTGTAGGGCTCCAATGCCTATGAACCAAATCCTATGGAACAACTTCCCTAGGCCACTGGCATTCTGGAACATGGTGCTCTGGGACTCTCTTCTCAAAGCAAAGTCCTTCACATTTGCAATTTTGGAGCCACAAAAGGTGGGGTCCTGCTGATTCTTGTGATGTCTTCAGGCCACCTTTTCTATTGTCCTCTTCTGAAATACTTGGCTTTTTCTTGCTAGTTTTTTCAGCAACCAACTTCTATTTCATCTTTTCAGGCCACAACTTTATTACAGCTTGCTTTCTGGCTAAACTCAAAATTTATTAAGTCTTTCTGCTGGGTTCTTTGCTCTTGATTCTCAACGTAGATATGGCTAGTAGCCCCCAACAGTAGCCATGCCACCATCTCAACATTAGACTATCCTGAAATTTCTTCTGTAAGGTTCATTAGTCCACCAAGCTTAATCTCAGTATCCTGCAAACTCTATAGGCACACACAAAATGCAGAAAAATTTTCTGCTAAAGCATAACACAGTCTAGAGTCCAAGAAACTTGTTGCTAACTGAAACCTCCTGAACTTGGTCTTTACCAGATATATTTCTATCAGCATTATGGTCTTCTGAACTCTGACCACAGAATCTCCCAGCAAGTAGAAATTAAAGCAATCCAGGATTGTGTCTTCACCTGGCATTTCCAAACCTCTCCAAATTCTTTGCACAAACCAGTTCCAAAGGCTCCCAAACCACATGGTCAGGTAGTGTCATAGTAACAGCCCCACTCCCAGGAACAAAATCTGTATCAATCAATGCTTACTGGAGAAACATTTAATGCAAGATTACAAATATTTAAGGATTTACAAGATTCATTTACAATGGCCGCCCACCAGGTCAGGCGTGGAAGAGTGCAGAAGGGCTGTCTGTGCATGGCAGATGTGACGGATTCAGTCAAAGGGCTGGAGCTCCATGCAGTGACCTGTGCAAGTTTATATCAGGAGACCAAAGGGTCTATGCTGGAGGCTGAAGAGTCTGTACTGGAAAGCTGAAGAATGTGAACAGGAAGCCAGGAGATGACGTCCAAGGTGAAGGTGAAGACTGGAGCTCCTCTGAAGAAACATAAGCATGCCTTTCTTCTTCATTTCCCTTTTATACCATTCTGGCAACAATCCTCCTTATGATGGGTCTTCCACACCCAGAACTATACTGGCCCAATTTAGTTGGGCATTTCTTACACAGGTTGACACAATCAGTGAGCTATCACATTTCACCCCTTGTCAACTTGATAATCAGACATTTCTTTAAACCAGTCTTTGGATACAAACACAAGTTTATAATTATACCTACCATTTATAACTATCCTGTGTACGAACAGAAAAGCACTAATTCCCTCCCAAAATATAAGGCAAATTTTCTTTGGGTGATGCTTACTCCTAACATTTCATAACTTGAACATTTTAACAGATTTAACAATATTTAAGAGTCAATGTTAAGTCTATCAACATTATATTACATTGTAAGCATATCAAGTGGAAACTTGTAATTACAATCCTCTTTTCTGTACCTGATCATGGGCTATAGCTGGTATTTAGAACTGCCTTCCTCTACTACCAATTCTGTATTCTGTTAGCCCTCACAAGCACCTTAGCAGTTCTTGGTTCTTTCCCTGGTAGCGTGACCCATTCCTTCATTCTGAAAGGTTTTGGAACATTTGTCATTCTGCCTTGATTGGGTTGTTGTAGTTTCCCAATGACTTTAACAACAGGGCATGCTAATACTAACAGGCACCTGAAAGATCTCCTGCACTCCATGTATATTCTTCCTTTTCCCATCATGGAGTAATAATCCAATCTCCCCTTGATAGGCTGGGTCAATCACCCCTGATAGCACTGTGACTCCCTTTGTAGCTTGTTTCCTTTGAAGCATGAGGAGGCCAAATGACCAGGGGAAAGTTTTAGTTTTCACTTTAATGGTATCATTGTTGTGCTTCCTGGTACAAGCCTTCCCTTACCTCTGGAACTAAGACTTCTAACCAGTGGAACATAAGGTCAGGGGAACAAGAAGCAAAAACTGTGCTAGTGTATCACTATGGGTAATGATGAGTAGTACCATTTCCACTTCTACTCCTTGATTCCTGGACCCATAAATTCTGGCTATGGAAGACAGCATCATATAGTAGACAGTGATTCAAAGCATATACAGCTTTTCTTTTCTTTTCTTTTTTTTTTTTTGTTTGTTTGGTACTAGGAATCAAACTCAGGACCTTGCATTTGGCAGGCAGGCACCTATGCCGCTGAGCTATATCCCCAGCCCACATATACAGCTTTCTGAAGAACCTTGCCCCAGGCCTGAAAGCTACTGCCATCTAGCTGGCACAGTAACTGTACCTTCAAAAGACTATTCCTTCCACCTCTCTAGCTGGTGGTGAGGAACACTGTAAGACCAGTGAATTCCATGAGTATGAATCCATTGCCTCACATTTTTGGCCATAACATGTATTCCTTGGCTAGAGGCAATGCTGTGTGGAATTACATGATGGTAGATAAGGCATTCTGTGAGTCCATGTTGCTGAGTCCAGGAATAACCTCATTCCTGCCACCATGGCCACTCTGTTCATGAGCCCATTGGGCAGTGCCAAGGATGGCTGAAGAAGGAGGTTGACCACTATCCACTGAATGGGTCATCTTATCCACTTGATTGTTAAAGTACTCTTTTGCTGAGCACTTAAATGGGAAACAATATTTTATATCCCTTGGCTATATGGAAAGGTCTATCCACATACCTCTTAAAATATTTTTGTCACCAATTACCTAGTTATGTTCCTTTCTAATTCCTTACCATCTGGTCAGACCACTGGCCATACCCTATTAATTAGTATACAGTTGCATATCTGGCCATTTTTCCTTCCAGGCAAAATGTACTACCAGGTATACTGTGCAAAGTTCTGCCCACTGTGATGACTTCCCTTCGGCACTGTCCTTCAGGGATGTCCTGGAAAGGGGCTATAATGCTGTAATTATCCACTTGCAAGTGGTGTCTGCCTAACATGCAGCACCATCCATAAACCAGGCTCTAGGTTTCTCTTCCTCTGACAGCTGGTCATATGGTATACCCCATGAGGCCATAGGTGCATGCTGAGAAATAGAGGGGAATATAGCAGAAGGAGCCATGGGCATCTGGGCAACTTCTTCATGTAACTTACTTGTACCCTCTGGACCTGCTCTGGCTAGATCACATATATACCATTTCCATTTAATGATGGACTGTTGTTGCACACATCTGATCTTATCCTGAACAGAAAAAAAAAATATAGGTAAAAAAAGAAGAAAGTAAATAAAACTACATGATGGAAATAAATTAAAACCAGTTTCCAGGGCTTGTTGAATGAAGAACAAGACAGTAAGACTAAGAAAGCTAGTAAGTTTCTCTAAATGTGTAATGGCACAAGGTGCTATGGTGTGTGTGGTAAACTACAGAATAGTGGCAGACCTAAAGGTATCCCAACTCAGAAATGTTCAAGTGGGCCCAGGGTACAGCTCAGCAGCACAGCACCTGCCTGGCAAGTGCAAGGTCCTGAGTTTGATTCCCAGTACCCAAAAAAAAACTGCTAAAGAAATGTTCAAGCCATCACACTGATCAAAACCACCTACAGGCCAGATCTGGTCCTTATATAGAAACTGAAGAGCCATGCTGCATAATAAATACAGTGGTATCTTGGTTCATGAGTCCTTTTGTTTGCAAATAATTTGGTTCACAAATAGAAGCACTTAGCAAAATTTTGCTTTTGTGTACAAACCCTGCATCGGGTGACAAACACAACTGCAACCACCTCTCTACACAAACACAAATGTGACCACCTTTTCCAAAATCATAGAACAAATCTAGTTCTTGAACCAAGATACCACTGTGAAAGCTTTCTGAAAGTAGTGTAGCTCCAAAGACAAAAGACAACAGATTTTAGTTCTATAACTATAAGTAAGAGCAAGAGATCAGGACTCTTACCTTCTGGAGAGGGAAAAGGGACCTACTGTGGCTAAATGAAAGGTACATGATGTGAAGATGCCTATATGTAATATTCAACATACCCATGTTTTCTGACTTGATAAGCAAAAAAATATGACATCAAAAGTATTCTGGATTACTTCCTTCTGACTTTGAAGTCCAAAAAATGTATATGGCACAGGTAGTATTTCTGTGATTAACATTTGGCTAATCACAAAGCCCAGGAAGAATATACTTTGCAGAAAGCTTTAAAATCTGACCAAGGAAGCTTTCAATTGCAATTTGGTTTAAAAGAAAATCTCATATAAGAAAAGTAAAGAACAAGTATAAACCTTGTTATTACTGAACACAAGTAGCAGGAAAATAGGAAGCTGTAGTGTTCAGAGTAGAGTTTCACTTGATTGGCTCTGGGATCCACTGAGGGGAATGGTGGGACATACTTATGGGTGTACTCAGGTATAGATGGCCCCAAATCCTATATAGGCCCCAAATCCTACATAGCCTACAACCATCCACGAAACAATCAGCCAACAAAAATTCTTTGCTCCCCTGGAATGGCACATACACAAACTTAAGAAAAAAGACTTACTTACAGATGTGTTGGCTACATAGCTATCCTCCTTCTGGCTTCTTGAAAACCGTCTACTCATAATGAAATCACAGCGAAGCTGTATCCCAGTCAATCTCAGGTTGAAGATTAGTAAGGTCTAGTTTTATTCTGGACACAAATGCCACTGATACTGGCAGCATCACTGGGGCTGAAACCCTGAAATTCCAACTGACCAATCCAGATCTCTTCCCAAACTTGAATATCCTCAAAAACCAGAAGGTAAAAGGGACTAAAACTAATAGCTGAAAGCACATTGGAAGATCCCTTACACCTTACTAGTTCTTCTAACATTTCAATCTCCTAGGCAAAAAGTCCAGTGGATAGGTATGGTTATGTAGCTCTCCACAGCGACAAAGAAGACAGTCATTCTCCACTTACCTATGGTGTTAAACCTAATTATTATTCATCTTTGGTCCCTCCAAAAGCTACATACTTTAAACCCCCCTTTTTAGTGTTTGTTTAGTTCCAAATAGCTAAATGTGTCTTCTCTTAAAAAATAAAATCTGTACTACATGTGGAAGCTCCAGGAGTTCCCTGCCACTTGTCATAAATCCCCAATCAAAACATCAAAGCCTTTCAACTTCCCTGTGATTCTGCTTTTGTCTAGTAACTATGTTGTGCTCTACAGTTGAGACAAGCTCTCAGACTGAGTTCATCTATACGTTCCATTAACTCAAAAGAGTATAAGGTTTCCAAAGAGAAGTTGTTATAATTCTATCAAAGTAAAATGTGCTATCTAAGATGTGATTTCTTCTAAGAAGGTAAATCTATCACTGAAAAACCTGAAAAATTCTTGCTAAATTCCCTGGATCCCCAAGTCTCCTTATAATTCACCCTATGATTTTCAATGGGGTTTTCTCTTTTTGTGTTTAACAGTATTTTCCAACTTCATTTTCTAGGCCACTAACTCAGATTTCAACAGTAGCTATGATTTCTGATATATACCAAATTGTTCTGCCAGGAAACCTTATTTTATAGCACCTGACAGCACTGTGCTGTAATTGAATCCGCCTAAATGGTCTCATTATCATCTCCTTAGACCATTCTAATCGTGCAAGTTCTGTCTTTCCTTGGTATGGCTGATTTTTCTTTCTCAGCTCTTGCTGTAGGAGTATCCTAAAATGAGAGGAGAACCACAGGAAGAGGCAGTATTCTCCACCCCCATAATGGAGTGGACACTGTCCCTAGCTCTTCACTGTGTCCTTTAACAGCTTTATACATCCAAAGGCCTCTGTCCTGACTGCACAACTTCTCAATGTGACTATTCCCAGAAGTGTTAGGCTGGGCAATGGGACCAGCTTTGACCAATCAAATAGGGCAGACATACAATGTGGTGGTTCTAAGCCACACAGCAGACACAGTTTGTGCATGGTTCTGCTTGTCCTTCTGCATTTCTGCCATCTGCCATGAGAACCGTCTGCCCCAAGCAGTCCTGCTCTCAAAATAAAGCTGCATGGAGAGGCCTGAACCCACTCCTACAAGATCCATGAATGAGAAAAAAAAAGCATATTTATTTTTGAGATTGATTATAACATATCAAGGAAAAGTAAAAGCCCAATCAATGATAAATATAAACTGTTAGTGAAGGAGGAAGTGTAGCCTCCTAATGCCCCAGTGAAACACTGAAACACCTCTCTGAAAAATCTTTGTATTTTTCTAATATCACAGATAAAAAGGACTCCAATCATCCCTTTTATGCCAGAGAAGCCTGGAGGCCAGGCAAAAGCTAATTAACAGAGAATCTCAGATCTCCAGACCCATTCTCTTCCAGAAGAATCCCCACTGCGACTCTTATCACAAGGGTACGGCCATGATTACCTCTGGTCCTGCAGACCTTAGCACAGAAACCCTACAAATGCTACATCACTCAGGGCAGGAAAACCCAAGGGCCCTTGTGCATCCGGATTATCTAAAGCCCACCCAAGTAGGTACCATGATCGAAAAAGGAAGACAGATTGGAAACAGGAGTAAACAGGGCAGAAGGATTCATTTAGAAGGTCACCACTTTCCCTGAACTGATCTTACTAAAATATTTACCAAATTCATATGTTATACTACTTCAAAAGTCAGATGATGCATGTTTCTCTACTTGTATTCTCCTGAAAATCAAAATGAAGCTAGTATGTACACAGGAAAAAAAAAAAAAATCCCATCTATCTTTACTTTACAGTGTAGGAATATAATGCTATTGCATCATACAGGATTATGGAAAAACGAAATCCCATTTACTACTTCATGATGTAAGTATATAATGTTATTGGACCATACAGAGTTATATCTAAGACCTACAAAATCAGATTTTAAAACAGTTAATTTCCAAATGAACCTCTTTTACATTACTTAAGACTGATTCTCAGGCTGAAAGGCTCTACTGAGATTAAGAGGTCTGCAAGTAACAAATATCAAATTAGCTACAGCCACACAGCTCAAGTACTGTATATACCTGTGGAAGCTCAATACTGCTCCAACTTACCATTGTCAAGAGGTGCATCCTCAGGTAGATCCACATCAAGCATAAGATCATCATCCTCGAGGTCACATGATTCAAGATTATTCAGAATATCCTGTAGACAAAATCAGTAACAAACACTATAACCAGCTCAAGGAACGTATTTAACTATTAGTTTTGAAAACATCACCAATATGATAACCTGAATTTATTCAATGTTTGCATTAAGAATAAAACAGACTTTTAAAATTAAATATATTCAGTTCAGCTATGGTTCAGATTCTGAATCTCTGTCAAAGTCCTACGTATTAAAGGCTTTCCCAGGGGCTGGGGATTCAGCTCAGCGGCACAGCGCCTGCCTGGCAAGCGGAAGGTCGAGAGTTCAATTCCTGGTACCGGGAAAAAATAAATAAATAAATAAATAAATAAAAAATAAATAAATAAATAAATAAATAGCTTTCCCACATGATGTGCTGCCCTGCCACAGCCCCAAAGCCAAGGGACTAGAACCTCCAAAACCACTTGCCAAGATAAACCCTTTCTCTTCATAAGTTGATTATCTCAGGTCTTTTACTTTTTTACAGGGACACAAAGCTGGCTAACAATGAACTGATTTATTGAAACTATTTGTAACACTTTTGTCTCAGTCTTCACACTTCCTAGGATTCTTCCTCAATAGATGCTTATTTTCATTATAAAACAACATACATAGTGCTCACTAATGTCTTCTAAGCACTTTATAAAAAATAACTCCTTAATTTAATCTTCAAAATAACCAGATTAGTGACTAACATGATCCTTGTATTATATGTGATTGAACTAATACACAGAAATTCTAACATCCTGACCAAAATAGGATGTGAACACATGTCTACCTTCTGTGAAAACACTTTCAACAACTTCCCTGATACCACGAATAATTGAAAAAAGTGAAGAATCAGTCCAAATGTATTCATACGGTGTGAGTTATCATTTTATTATTTTTATAGTAATGAATTCATCTGACCTATAACCCATGGAGGGATCTTTGCAATCTAAGAACTGACCCAATATAGTAAAGCCTGTCCTTACTGTATATAGTAAAATGATCACAAAAACACAGATTTATAAATCAAAGTATGGTCATGAAAAATTCTTGTAAAATAAGGGCTATCTAGTTTATTACAGAAAATATAAAAAAATTAGAACTATTTCACATCAAATATTCCATCAAAATATTTCTAGTTTTGGGCCCTTTGAAGACTAGAAGCAATGAACTAAAATTATCATTCTAAAAATCTCTAATTATTTAACTTTGGCCCAAGAAAGAGTTACTTCTTGAAACCTCTTTCCATCATAAAAACATGTTATTCTTAAAACATAGGCTCTCTAAAAACCAAGAAAAAGATGAACAAGATAACAAAAGATGAAGGTAAATAACATACTGACAAAGAGTGCAGCAATTTATAAGTATAAAATAAACAGCCAATAAATACAATAAAAGAATGCTAGCAACAATGGTGAGTTACCATAATGAAGAATCTAGTACAATAATGCCTCCGTTCACGAATGCTTCTGTTTGAAAACAATTCAGTTCTCAAACAAAAGTGTTCAACAAAATTTTGCTTCTGTTCATGAACTCCGCATCAGCTGACAAACACAACCATGGCCATCTTCCCCATGCAAACACAAACACAACCTTCTTTCCCAAAATCATAGAACAAATTAAGATCGTAAACCAAGGTACCACTGTATTCATCTACATTGGAGGTAAGACTAAATCCATACTTTCTAGAATTCAGTTATCGAAATTTGGCTGAAAGTCTTTTTTGAAAAAGGCAAATTGCTCTTTCCTCAGAATTTATCCATTAGAATAGACAAATAGACAAAAATGTTTTTGAAAGTATGGTCATTGTAGCACTGTTCACACTGTTCAGAATAGCAAAAAGTCGAAACAGAGTAAATATCTAAAAGTAGGAAAATGGTCAAATAGAAAATATGGTATAGTCACACAATAGAATACTCTGTGGTTCTTAGATAATGAAAGTGCAGATATGGCAAGGTTTTAACTCGGGATAAAAACATACTGGGTTTGATCCAATCTTTTGATCTTAAACATAATGCTTCACCAAAAATGTGGATATGATTGGAGCATAATAGTGGGTATCAGAGGCTGCAAAGAGAGGGGTAGATGGAGAAAGATAGTTAACAAAAGAGCACAACTGGACAGAAGGAACAACTTGTAATGTTGTGTAACACAAAAGAGTAACTCTGGTCAACAACATTTAACTACATATTTCAAAACAGTAAAAAGGATTTGGCATGTTTCCAATGCAAAGAAATACTAAATGTCTGAAGTGATGGATATACCAATTACTCTGATCTAACCATTACACATTGCATATATGTATTAAATACCACACTCTACCCCATAAATACATACAGTAGCTATATAACAACTTTATTTCTAAATGCTAAAAATTACTTCAATGAACTCTTGTAAAAAATAGTAACTATAATTATATAACAATATAATGTAATAATAGTTCATTTTATATATAATATAAAAATGAGCACAATGCTCAGAAAAGAAAATATTATAAAATAAGTAGAGAGAAAAATCCTTAACTATTTTTAGCAATTAGAAGTCACAGCACTGGAATTATTATTCCAAAATGATTCTGTATATATGAATATAAATGGGATGAGTTATTATATTGGTGTTTTTGAAAAAACTTGTCATCTTAGAAAAAGGAGATGAAGATTTGAACAATTAAGCATTAAAGATTTAAAAAATGAGCAATTTTATTCAAATCTCTATGTTCCTGAATTCCAATGTGAAGTACAAATACAAGCTGTATTTCACCTTAAAAAAAAAAAAATTTCTTCCACTGAAAAGTACTAGATGTTAACTGAACAAAAACAAGTGGGTGTCTAAAACAGCATATACAGAATTATCCCTTTTACGGAAGAAAAACACTGTATGATATACACAGGAAAAAGTCAGGAGAACACCAAAACACTGGCTCACTGTAACTTAGAACTGGAGTATTTTTGTCTCCTTTTTTTGGTCAAGTAGCTATACTTTCTCAATTTCTGCATTGACCATTATGACATATGTAATTTAACCAGAACAATCATATCCTCTACAAAACCAGCTGGCTGTTTGTACATTAGAATATTGTGAAGAAAGACAATGCTAGGTACACCAGGCCAGAACTGACAATGAAGGCCACAACTGAGAATCAAAGGCCTGTCACAACGCCAAAAAGGTATCTTACTTCCAACACCAACAAAATTCTACATTCTGTGTATGTGCTTTTCTGTACTTTTCACTGTATACTGAAGTTTTAAAAAAAATAGCTTTAATGAATGCAAAAGGGAATGAGGTTATTCTAATGAATTTTCAAATGGTAGAACAATTATGATAGTTACTAAAACAATATAGTAGAAAAAGGGGAACAAACTATTATAAAGAAAGGGAAAAGCATCAGTATTTAACACTTACCAATAAAGCATTACAAATGTTTCAGAAATTCATCTCATCATATGGAAAGGAGGGTACAGAGGACAAGCAGATCACAAATGCAAAGTATGGCTACATCTTTAATGTTAAAAAATACACTTAAATATCTGGAAGATAATAAACCAGTGGACTGCTATAATCTTCCATTATGTGATATAATATGTGCTTGGGCTCTTTATATTCTTTTTTACTTTTCTGTAATATAAACAGTACTTTTATTATTTTTATTTAATAGCAAAGCTTCATGTTAGATAAAGTCTTCCTCCCTCGGCAACAGAAAGGAAGTTTAAATCTTGCAAACCCAGCCTGAAAGTGAGAACCACCAACCTGGCCCATTTCCTAACCACACTGAAAACCAGAGCCACCTGCTGTTCCTTCACACAAGTCTTTCTGCATCAGCCTGGGTGCCTACCCTGCTCTCCCAAGAAAATCTCACTATATGAGTAATAAATCTTTTCAAACACTCTTGGTACACGTGTAACACCATTAGGCTTGCATCTAATCAATTTTGGACTGATCCTGCCTCTCCTCACAGTAACCACAAGATAATAATTTGACAAATAAAACACGAACACATATATACATATGGCACTCTTCTAGGTACAAGATATACGCAGGTAAACAAGACTGAAGAATTTTATGACCACTTGAAAACTGCTTTAAAGAAGTATTTTGGCTGTACTGTAAAAAAATGGATTTACATAGGTCAGATAAACCACTTTGGGGCTCCTGCAGAATCCATGTGACACATGGTGGTAGCCTGATCAATGTTTGTGAGAATAAAGAGTAAGCACTTCTGATACACGCTGAAGAGTTAGAATCCATAGGGCCAAAGTAAACTGAAAAATAAGCCAGGGGCCATGGACGACTCCTTATTTTCTGAATGAGAAACAGGTGTATTATGCATATTATGCCTCACTGAAACAAAGGAAAAAAGGAACACCAATATCAATAAAGCTGGAAAAAAAATCAAACAAAATAATGAGGAAAACAAAAAAAGAAAAAAGGAAGGTCAGATCTGGTATGAAAAAAAGAACTGATATATAGCTTTAGAACCCACTAGTTCTAAAGTATTATGGTATCTCTGGGAGGACGTGTGGTGGATAACTGAGTACATAAGCTTGGAGCTCAACAAGATTTACCACTGGGAGTCACCAACAAATAGATGACAACTGGAAGATGTTGAGCAATGAACTCGTCTCAGAGCAACATCAAAGATGTAAAAGGTAAGCCTTAGAGCAAGGGCTTAAGGGAAAAGGAAAACACTAATTGACTGTAACTCTTTCTTCATCGGTGTAGATCATGTGTCCAGGGTGGGAACCTGTTATTATAGGTAGGGAGGAGGTCGTATCATGTGGCTAATGTGGGAAAGTGTTTCTGTTCCGTGTTTGCAGTGGCAGCCTCCTCTTCCAACTGGCACTCCTACACTTGCTACAGCCAACATTTACATCCACCTGTTTTAGTTGGTAGACCAGCAATCATTAGCTGAGAGCAAGATGATGAAAACTAAGCATGTATAATCTGTCTTCCAGAGGCTTCCCATGAGCCTTACTGAATTTAAACTCCGAGCATGTCTTAGCAGAATTACCACAAAACTTTCTTGGTCTCTG